GATTTTATCAACGTAATGGGATTGACTTAGCGTTAGACCGTCAGGTCCTCTAATTATTTTAATCCCAAGGATTAAATCGGCCAGCCCCATATCCTTCATGTCAAACTTAGAATTTAACATGCTTTTGGTAGAATTAATCATTAGATTATTGCTACCCACGATGAGTATATCATCCACGTATAAACACAAAATGACATAGCCGTCTACCGTGCTTTTCACATAGACGCATTTGTCACTTTCGTTTATTTTAAACCCATTAATTAACATTACATGATCGAACTTTTCGTGCCACTGTTTAGGGGCTTGTTTCAATCCATACAATGATTTAATTAATTTACAAACCTTCTTTTCTTGGCTTGGAACACGAAAACCCTCGGGTTGTTCCATATAGATTTCTTCGTCTATATCACCATTTAGAAAAGCGGTTTTTACGTCCATTTGATGAACTTCCAAATTCCGCAAAGCGGCAATCGCTAGTATCATCCTAATGGAATTTATTCTCGTCACGGGAGAATACGTGTCAAAGTAATCATGGCCATCACGTTGCTTGTATCCCTTGATTACAAGTCTGGCCTTATACTTATCAATGGAACCGTCTGGTTTCATTTTACGTTTAAAAATCCACTTGGATCCCAAAGGTTTACATCCCGGAGGGAGATCAACCAATTCCCATGTGTGATTTTTTAGGATAGAGTCCACCTCACTTTTGATGGCTTCTTTCCACATCGGTCCTTCGGTAGACGTTACGGCTTCCGTATAAGTCCTTGGCTCTTTTTCTACCAAACATGTTAGAAAATCCGGTTCATTTTCTACCATACAAGTTAGAATATTCGAATCGAATTCTACCAGGTATGTGAGAAAATCCGGTCCGAAGGATTTTTCTACTCTAGCACGTTTGCTACGTCGGGGTTCGGGTTCTTCACCGGATCCCTCGCTAGTATTTTCCATAGCTACGTCAAATGTTCGTTTTGACGTGCTAGGTCCTTCGTTGGACTTACATGGAAATACATCTTCAAAGAATGAGGCATTCCTTGATTCAATTATAGTGTTTTCATGTACATCCGGATTATTCGAATCGTACACTAAAAACCGATAAGCACTACTATTTTGTGCATATCCAATAAAAATACAATCCACCGTTTTTGGACCTATTTTTATTTTCTTAGGTGTTGGTACAAGCACTTTTGCCAAACACCCCCACACTTTTAAATATTGATAGGAAGGCCGTCTGCCTTTCCACAACTCGTACGGAGTTTTATCATATTTTTTCCGGGGAACCTTATTTAAAAGGTAATTGCTTGACAAGACTGCTTCGCCCCACATATTTTGTGGCAAGCCCGAACTTACTAGCATCGCGTTCATCATATCTTTCAATGTGCGATTCTTTCGTTCGGCAACACCATTTGATTGAGGTGAATAGGGTGCGGTACGTTCATGTACTATACCCACGCTCGCGCAAAAGTCACCAATTGGTGCTTCATACTCACCACCTCGATCACTTCTAACCATTTTAATCCGTCGATTAAGTTGGTTTTCCACTTCATTCTTATAAAGAATGAATTTATCGATTGCTTCGTGTTTATTTTTTAATAAATAAACATAGCTATAGCGAGTGCTATCATCGATAAAAGTAATAAAATATTTATTACCGCCACGTGTTTGTATCGATTTAAAATCACAAACGTCACTATGAATTAATTCAAGTGGCTCCGTTTTTCTTTCAACCGATTTGAAAGACGTTTTCGCTAGTTTTGCCTCTACACAAACTCCACATTTGTAATTCACATCAATTGTGAATTTAGGAATGTGTTCCATGTTAATTAATCTACGTATAGAATTAAAATTAACATGTCCTAGTCTACCATGCCACACATTGGAAGACTCAAGCAAGTAAGCAGAAGAGATTTTATTATTATTATTAATAATAGTCATTACATTGAGCTTAAACAGCCCATCAACTGCATACCCCTTCCCCACATACATTCCCGATTTGGACAAAACTAGTTTGTCCGACTCAAAGACCATGCGGAACCCATGCTTGTTCAACAAAGAGCCCGAGATCAAGTTTTTGCGTATCCCCGGGACGTACAACACATTGTTGAGAGTCAGCTCCTTGCCTGAAGTCATCTTCAGGACCACCTTGCCCATGCCTTCAACCTCGGAATGAGCAGAATTCCCCATCCACACCTTCTCACCGTTTGATGGCTCAAAGGCTGTGAATAGCTCCCGGTTAGAGCAAATGTGTCGGGTTGCACCGGTGTCCATGAACCACTCCTTGGAATTGGATCCAACGAGGTTGACTTCGGTAACCACAGCCGCTAGGATGATGTCTTCATCCTTTTGCCCACCTTGCACCAAGTTGACTTGGGAGTCTTTCTTCTTCCGTGGTGCCTTGCAATCCGAGGACTTGTGTCCATTCTTGTTGCAATTGAAGCATTTTCCATTAAATTTGGGTTTGGAAACGCCTCCCTTGGGACCGAGCCTGCTCTTCCCATTATTTTTATTTTTGGAGCCTTTTGCATGCTCCACCACATTGGCCTTGGCGCCGGTAACGATTGGGAGTCTCCCATCGTTCTTCCGATTATCCTCTTCAATCCGCAGACGGAGGATCAACTGTTCCAAGTTCATTTCCTTTCGCTTATGCTTAAGGTAGTTCTTGAAATCCTTCCAAACCGGCGGCAATAAATGGATAATTGACGCCACTTGGAAAGACTCGTTAACCGTCATTCCTTCATCTCGAATTTCGTTGAAGATCATTTGCATTTCTTCAACTTGACTCAAGACCGTCTTCGAATCCACCATTTTAAAATCAAGGAATCGACCGACAACAAATTTCTTTGCACCGGCATCCTCGCTCTTATATTTGTGGTCCAAAGCATTCCATAGCTCCTTAGCCGTAGCTAATTTACTATACACGTCGTACAGAGCATCATGCAGCCTGTTCAACACGTAGTTTCGGCAAAGGAAGTCAGAATGCTTCTAAGCCTCAACCGCGTTGAAAGATTGCACATCCACCTCACCCCCGGTTACTACCGGCGCATCCTCGGTCAAGAAACGTGCAAGACCGAGAGTAGTGAGATAGAAGAGCATCTTTTGCTGCCACCTCTTGAAGTTTAACCCATTAAATTTTTCGGGTTTCTCCACAGAGTTGCTCGGCACGGTCACCATAAGGATAGCCCTTTGGTTCACCAAAGTAGATGCACCACGTTGTGAACTATTGTTCACCGGAGCTCCGCTTTCAGAGTGATTATCGTTCAAACCGTTCAAAGCATTCTGCCCAACAACATTTTCATTTTCTCGAGAAGTCATTTTTCGTTTCTTACGTTATTCGAAAGCACAAAAAAACAAGTTCTAAGATTGTTTACCGTAGTAGAACAATCACCGAATACGTTTTAAGATTGTTGGGTGTGTTTCGAAAAACAAAGAAAATTAATTAATAAAGATTAATTAAATAAAATGACTTAAAGAAAAACAAGAAATGAGATGAAGCAGAATAAGCCAAAGCTCGTGCTACGCACGATTTCCTTAAAACGTATTCGTTGCCTCCCGGGGTGCTAGGAGCGTTGCAACGATCGTTTCCCAGGATACGATGACTTCGAACAATAGTTTAGCACTCAAACTAAAGTTCCAACGAACGTGAACAAAAGCAGAACACCGAAGGAGTTTGTATGGAGTGCTAGAGGTGCTGTTTCAGCTATGAAAATACGTGAACGAAATGTATGAAAGGTTGTGTCTTTGCAAAGCACCTACTAGCCTTTTATAGGGGTGGATTAAGGTGTGTTAATGGCTGTTTAAGGGTTATGATCGTTGGACATCAATGTCCTAAACGTTGGGCATTGATTCCAGTCCTTAAACAACCCAAAACGTTCATATGAACGTTGGGACATCAATGGCAGCATATAGACGTTGGGCATTTATGTGCATGGAGCAAAAATTAAAGTAGGAACGTACCGGAAGAACTAAAATTAACGTTATCTTTAGAAGATAGATTTTCGGACGGCATTCGTGGATTTGATTCGCACCCCCTGCACGCGTGAGAGAGCCTTTCCCTTTAGGAATCTTAACTCCTTAGGGGGGTTTCCCTTTATAAAGGGTTCAAATTCCCTTGTGATTTTCGGTGTGGGAAAGAACCCACACTAAAACCCACATTTTCCTAGTTTTCTCCATTCCAACGGGTAAACTTCGAAAAACAATTTCTCATTCACCCGTTATCCGTTTTGAGTGTACCATATATCGAATTGTAGTCCTTAGCAAGGACAATCCGAAACCACTTTGACCCGACCCAAATCGGAAGTGGACCCCACTCAAATAATTGCCCCAAAATGACCATTTAATACACTTTTAACACACTTTTTCCAACAAAAATAAGGTATTTTGAATTGTGAAAGAGGTAGTACATAAGGCTTAATATTTAGCAAGATAAAGAGAGGTGAAACTAGGAACCTAGTAAGAGAACAATCTTAGACATTAGAGATGACTCTTCTGTTTGGAAAAGCAGTCATCTGATTGGGATATTTTAGGAATTTGACTCTGCTGTGCTAAAGTAAAATGTTTAATTATTTATAAAGAAAATATTTGAAGTGATAAAATTGATTTTGAGAGCCTTTAATATGCAATCCACACAGTCTTGATGAAACGACTTTTCAGGCTATCAAGAAAGACTATTTTTAGTGGATTGTTTTGAAGTAAATTAACGTGTAGCATCTCAACACACATGTTAGCTTCATTATTTGTAAACATAAAAAACTAAGAGTAGCACAAGTCGGCTAATAATCTCCCCGTTTTTTATGTTGACAAATAATGACTTCAAGAGGGTATAAAAACGGTTAGGAGCACATGAGCAGATTTCAAATGTAACAGCAAGCTTCCCCTCACTTCATGCATGCAACTGTCTTGATACCAATATATTTAAACACTCTCCCCCATACAGAGAGATTCTCTTTCCTCTTTTTGATTGACTTAGATCAGGGAATTTCTCCCTCTATTTAACAGTATGAGACTTACTTGAAGTCAACATATTTCTCCCCCTTTGTCAATATCAAAAGTGGAGGGTCATTGAGAGAAAAAGCAGTTAAAATACAAAGAGGATAGAAGATACCAATTGAAATAATAATAATAATAATAATAAGTATAATAAATGATACCAAATAAAGAAGAGTAGGTATGAGAAATTTAAGGAATGTAGGAGTTGTGTTATGATCATGTTAATAAATGATTAAGTATAAAGAACATTGTTGTTCATCCAAACCTTGATCTTCACAGCCTCATTCCTTTCTTGATGCTTCAGCCATCTGTCTGATACCAATTTGAACCAACTTAAGTCTTATGTTTGATATACTTGAATGACCTTCTGCCTGGTAGCAGCAGTCTGCTGGTTGTAGCAGCAATATGCTATTGCTCTTTCAGTACACATCTGGATCACTTTGCTTGAGCATTCTGCCTTGAGGACAAGTGTTTTCCATACTTAACCAATAACAGATCAAGGCACACAATTCCCAATTTATGATAATTTCTTTATTCTACAATATTAATTTTCTATTAATGAAAATATTTATTTTAAAAATAGAATATTTATTTAAAAATAATAATACTTATTCCCAAAAAACATATAAAAGAATAAATTGAATTTTCAAAAAATATTAGGTGAACATAATATTTATTTAGTAATAAGAGAATAATGATTAGTTTTTCTTATAAGATATTCGATAAAAACAATAGTTACTATTGAAAAATATGCGACCATAATGTCATTGTATTCTAAACATAAAAGGTGATGAATAAAAACTAATTGATATATTTTTCACATGTATTTTCAAAATTGACATTTTACATTTACTAATTAAATTATCTTTCAAATCGGGCTTAAAACAAGAGAAGCATTTAAGAATAAATTTTATGATTTTCAAATTAAAGAATTGAATTAATACAGATAAAATATGATGTAATAAGTAAATTCTGACTACATACAAATTGTGGGATTCTTCTAAATAAATATATACAATATTTATCTATATTTTATATTCTCCATAAAATTTTGGAAATAGTATTTTATACAAAATGTGCATGATGTATTTAAGGCAAGAAAAAGATAAATAAATTGAATTAATTTCAGATTTCTGCATTCTCCATGTATGTTCATTTTACATATAGATTACAGAGTTAATGAATTGAAATAGTATTGATCAAATATATACTACGTAATATAATAAGTTAGTTGTAAGTACATACACATTGTGAGATTCTCGAATTAAATATAAACAAAATCTTATTGTTTTATTCTCCATAATATCATGGAATAGGTACTTTATACTGAATCTGATTGTATTAGGGATACGAAAAATAAATAAATTGAGTTATTTTTAAATGTATTTATTTGGAATTTTTTCTAACCAATATGTTTGCATAGTAAAATGAATTCTTCATATATTTGATTTATATCTTGAAAGGTAAGTTTCAATAATGGTAAATATTACATTGAAATACCAAGAGTAATGAGCAAAAGACGTCTTAATATACTCAAATGTTCAAAAGAAATAAATTTATTCACCAAGACGATGAATGTGGTTATAAGGAGTTTTCCAAAAACCTAATAATGTGATGTTTGGTGTGTGTGGTGTTAGAGAATCTCAAATGCAAAGTGTGTATTGGTGCACATATGGCAGGAGAGATATAGCTACGAAAAATTAATTAATAGAAAACCATTCACATTCTTTCCACCATGTAGTAAATATATAATTGTTTTTTGTTCACAATGTCAATCACAATGTCTAGATCTTGACATTATACCTGACATTGTGAATAAAAAGTAACTAAACTTTATTACAACGTGGAAAGAAAGAGAAAGTATTTCTGTTAATTAATTCTTTTGGACCGTCCACACATTTGCCTTAGAGATGCTCTGATATTACAATGTCACATTTTAATATATTCCTTTTAATTAATTTACTATCCTCAACGAACAAACGTTTATCCAAAGTAAAATAATGAATTATTTATATATTGTATAAATGTATATATCTTACAAAATATCCAAACATTCTCAAAATCCATCTGGGCAACGCCCATGTAAAACACTAGTTTCTTTGTCATTTGTTTGCCATCATTACGTTATGTAAACAAGATTTAAGGCATTTAGTAATGTTCAACATTCTAATCAGGATGGTTAGTAATCTTGTACTCCTTCTACATTAATCAGAATTAATCCCTTGAGAGTTGTTGAACGATTCTAGACTTAACGGGAACTTGAAGTGAGGTGTGAACTATGATGGTTATATCCACTCTATGCGGTTCCCGGTCCCTATCTCCCATACATGGATTTAGGTCAATGGACTCCGATTTATAGACGAGTTATTGTAAGTTACAAAACTGCTTCATGTACACAGGCATTTTACACGCCAGTGTACACGCTATAAAAAACAGCCAATTCATTTTTACCCCTTCCCACCCAACTCCTTTCTCCCTCTCTTTCCCGAAAACTGGTTGATGTACACTTTCTATGTACACCTTTCGCACATGTTTCTGTCTACACAGACAGAATTGTCCGTATACAGACACATTCTATATTTCAATTGTGTAGACGACAAGTTTGCCAAAGGTGATTAACAGAAAGAAAGAGAGTATTTCTGTTAATTAACGAGTCGGTTGTTTGTTTTGTTCCTTTATCATCAACGTAGAAAGAAAGAGAATATTTCTGTTAATTAATTCTTGATGTCACTTGTGATTACAAAGGTATTGTAATATTCTACTGACTTATCTGTTATTATAGTTTTAATTCACAAGTCAAGAATGGCCATGGAAAAGGGATTTTGCTCAATTGGACTAGGGATTTGGGAAGGGAGCTGTGAGAGAAATGAAAACAACAAAGGAAAATGAAAGTGAAAAGTAGGGAAAATTCCGGAAACATGAGTAAAAAAATTTGAAAATTCCAAAACAGGACAATTTTTTTATTGGGAAATTATCACTGAACTCCCTTGAGGTTTCATACGTTATCACCTAGATCCCTGCACCATTGAAAAATACCCTTACCCCCTCCCTATCCTTTAATGAGAGATTAATAACTTCTAACCATGCTTAACAAAATTATAGATTTAATCGTCTAAATTTACTCATTTGCATATATGATGGGTAACACATAAATTTATCCGCATTACGAATTTTTCCACCAGAAAGTGCACTTTGTAATGAAAAATTTGACATCGTCTTTTCTAGTATGTTTTTTTGCCATAATGTGAGTTTTCCGTGAAATAGTCGTTAATATAGACATATTTATTAGTTATAGAACTAGTTCTTCACGAGAGTAATTTATAGGACTAATAGTGGACACAATAAAAAATATGAGCATAAAAACAAATCCTTATTACTTTTAAAAGTCCAAAAATATCCATTAGATTGTAGAAATCTTGGTGGAATATACATCTCACGTTAGAGATTTTTTTTCCCACGTGATAAAAGACTACTAGCTTCAGCACTTATAATAAAAATATTTTTAAAGTTTGAATGAACATTATTTAGAATTACAGTTTAGCTAAACTACTTTTGAAGTATTATTTTATACCTAAAACAGATGTTGGTGAATGATCTTTAGGACAAGGTTGAAACCATTCGAGTAAGTATTTCCCATAAAACTTTAATAAGTACAGTATTGTCCTAAAATCATTAACCAACATCTGTTGTAGGTGCAAAATAAATAATATTCCAAAAGTTTTGCTCAACTGTAATTATAAATAATGTTCATTCAAAATTTTAAAATATGTTTAGTATATCTAAAAAATATTAGTGGATGATTAAGAAGACTGCAGAAACGAGTACCCCCTTTATCCCAATATTATCTTCAAACTTTCCTAGCTTTTTCGTCCGTCCTAAAATTATCCCATCTTTTCTATTTTAGCAAAAAATTGTGGTTCACAACTTATTTGCAGAATTCTCCACCACACAATACTCACTATCTTAATACATGTGACATTTGTACTTCAGAAGATAAATTAGGGACAGAGGGAGCAATCTTTTTTCATGTAAGAAAAAAACCAACGTGAGATGTATATTTCACCGGCTAAGATCTCTACAATCCATACATATTTTTGAACTTTTAAAAGTAATACAAATTTTTTGTTTAAAATTCGTACTTTTCGATTGTATCCGTTATTAATTAGTTCTATAAATTAACTCTCATGTAGATGTACTTGGGCAAAATAATGAATATGTTAATATTAAGGTTTATTTCAGATTATTCGATGGCGGAAACCAAAATCCAGAAATAAACTGAATATTAATGCTCGTTACTTATTTGGCAGTGCATCTGGTGGAGCAATTATGTGAGACTCTAGAGGTGTCTTGATTCGAGCTGTTGCTTTCCCGTTGCAAGCTTCATTGTCGGTAGAGACTGAGATCCAGGCTATTGCTTTTGCAGTTCGATGGGCGACAGATGAGGGCTTTGTTGATTTTCAGGTTGAGTTAGATTGCTCCCAAGCGCTTGATTATTTCGTTGGTAAAGAGACGGGGAGATGGGTGGACTTGATTCAGGAAACCTCGCTTATACAGATCAGGAAACGTTTGGTATTCAAACATACTTGCAGGGAAGGGAATTGGGCCGCACATTATCTTGCTGATTATCGGGCCTCAAAATTGGTTTATTTTAATAGCCCAGATCAATTGCCTATTTATGTTAAAAGGGCCTATCTGGTGGATTATTTTGGCATTCCTTCTTTCAGGTTCTAATTCTCTTGTTTGATGTATTTGATTGGGTCAGGTCTAGCCCCTCTGTCATCTGTTTTATTTTTGCATGCTTGTATTTCGAAGAGGTATGCTTCTTCTAAGGGGTTTTGGTCTAGTCCGCCTCTCGGTTTTGTACTTCTTTTATTTTTAATAAAACCCGACAAATGTTCCCCGGCATTTGCCGCACTGATTTTGGTGGTTTACCTTCCGGGTTTAAAAAAAATTAAGGTTTATTTCATCAGAAAGTACACATTCCCGCAAAAACACATACTAGAAAAGACGTCGTTAAAATTTTCTCCACAAAGTGTACTTTCTAGTGGAAAGATTCTTCATGCGGATAAATTATTTGTCACCAGATCAAATATGCAAGTGAGTAAGGTTATAGGACTAAATCTATAATTTTGCTAAACATGATTAGGAGATATTTAAATTCTCATTATAGGATAAGGAGGGGGGGGGGGGTATAAGTATATTTTTAATAGTGCAGGGGTCTAGGTGATAATACGTGAAACCTCAAGGGAGGTCGGTGATAATTTCCCCGTTTTATTCCCAAAATAGGACTAATTAATGCAAAATTTGGAAAATACTGTCATGTTTAAAATCTGATAATACCAAAACATGACAGTAATTAGTCCTGTTTTTGAAATAAAAACATTATAATTCTATTTTGGAATATATAAACGTTGTTAGTCTTATTTAGGATAATTTTGCGGAAAGGTAATGCGGTAAAACGGCTTCTTTTAAAGCGTGTACACAATACATTTTTGTGTAAGTTATTGTTTACGAGAACAGAAAATCTTGTGTACAAAAGCGGGTTTAAACTAATGGACACAAAAATCTGTGTATCTAACCTATTATAATAAAGGACAATTTTTCTATTAAATGCATAGTTGTGTGCTAAACCCTTCGAGACTATGCTTTATCTTGATGTACATTGTGTTAAGGATGACGTACACAAAGTATTATTCACCAGTGAAACGTTTAACGATCGTTAATTGGTTAACGGTGTCTAAGTCTATCAGTCTTAACAAAAACTAATATGGACTGTTTCTTTTTCGAATCAGTTTGTGAAGCCAAAGCGACATAATTTTTTAAAGTCCATTCTAGAACTTGGAACATCAAAATAAATTCAGTTTCAACTCAGAAGATATTATGCTCTTTCTCACGTGAGAAGTTTCCTTAGGTTTCTCATCCTCCTCACGCAACATGGTCAACATTTTGGTGAGTTTGCTATTTTTTCCATGTTTGTTGATTATTACCATTGATAGATATACTCTTAACATTGCAACTCTTTGCCTATGTTATATTTGCCTATGTTATCTTTCACGCATACAAGGTGTTTGAGAATATGTCTAAATAGAGCCTCTATTAATTATCCAACCGTATCATCCATTGACCATTTAGGGAGGGGCGAATTTAAAAAACAATAAAAATTTGAACAAGGAGGTTCCAATCTCTGCTTCAACGTGTCCAGTTCTTGTTTAAGCATGCATCGTTGTTTTACCATTGTTTTTTGTTATGGTTGCTAAGCTGATTTTCATCTCCAACAAAAAGTTGGCAACCTCCAGAGATACCATTAATAATGGTGAGAAAGGATAGTCAGCGGCTATGTGTAAAGATGCATGTGTTTTTTAATTGATAAAATGTCAAGGGTCCTCACAATTTTTGCATTTGATTACATATCATACATCTCACTTCAACTCCTTATGAAAATTTATGACCAATAATATACCACAAGTAGAACTAAAAGCAACACATTTGACCCACTTAGGTCATTATTATTGTTTTTTTAGTGATTCACTCATAGAAGAAGAATGATTATCTACTTTTTTGTAGGACTAAATCAGTTTTTTTTTTTGCACAAAATAAAACAAACAAGTCTTGATTGTGCATAGCTGCACATGTTTTTACTCCTATTTGTCGTAAATAAGATTTTTTATGGGCACACCTCCTTAGGCAAGACAGACAAAATTATTTTTATGCTTATGTCATTCTCATGTCACTAAAAAATCATCTTTATGCTTATTAACTACGTGAAACTTCACCAAAACATAAAACATGCAACACATTTTATATCTATGCATGCTAAAATTCATTTACAAACAGTGCTAGAAAATTCACAAAAAAATCAAATAAATTTTTGCATTGGGCATATTACACTCGCGCAACGCGCGATCAAATTTTTAGTAAAATCATACACCCAGAGTCGTGCCTTCCTTAAGGCTGCAGAGGCATGGGCCTCAGGGCTCCAAAAAAATTAAAAATTTAGGGGCCCAAAATTTAAATATATTTATGTTATACTCGTATATATTAGTTGTTTTAATAAATTCGACATCGTATTTAAGTATTGAGCTTTTGTGGTATTAATCTCTTATGCGGAGTATTAAAAGATGTTATTTTACAAAGAAATACTCTCTCGTGCCATTGTACATGTGTTAATTTCTTTTTTGGGGTTTTCCAAAATAAGTGTAAATTGTAATGAAACAATTAACTACTTTAACTAATATTAATATGACAAATGAAACAATTAAGTAATTTAATAGATAAACGAGAAGTCTAACAATTAACTACTTTTATAAAATGTATGAATGTGTATAAGTCTATATAAAGTGTATAAGTATATATAGTATATATAATGTGTAAATATATTATAAGTAATATATAATATAATGTATAACTATATATAGTATATATAATATAATGTGTAAAGAATTATAATATGAATGTGTATAAGTATATATTTATAAGTAGATAATTAATATATAAGTAGATATAATAATTATATAAATTATATATATGTAGAAAGAATTTGGAGAAGATGAAGAATGAAGATGATTGAACATGAGAGATTGAGAGAATATAGAATTTAGAGAGTAGGAAGAGTTGTAGAAGAAGAGGTGTAAAAAATGTATAGAAAATAGGAGTATAAATAGGTTTTTTTTGTATACCCCACCCCCTAACCCCTAGACCCCCCCCTCCTATGCTCCCAACGGCTATAGAGCCGTTTGGGAGCTCTCCCAACGGCTATGGAGCCTTCTAGTATTTAATTATTTTTTTTAAAAATGTGACCGTTGAGGCCCGGACCGGGCCCGGCCTGGCCGGGCCGGTTCACTGAAATGCAGGCCCGGGACCGAACCGCTTGAAGACCGGGCCGGGTGGCCCGAACCGGGCACCAACCGGTTCACCGGGCCGGTCCGGGCCCGCACAGTAGCGGGCCGGTCCGGTTCCGGGCCGGCCCGAGTCCACCCCTAAGTGTCACATTTCTTTTTTTTTTTGGAAAGAAATAGATGGTCTACATTATTTCAACTTTACTAGACTCAAATCTCAACCACAACTTTTACTTTCTTACCACTTTTTTAATAATTGTGTCACACTAAAGTATGACATATAAAATGGGACGGAACGAGTACTACATATAGGGGCCATTTTATGAAGCTAGACTCATACCCAAGTTTATGTAGGATTGACGGTAGGATTGGCACCGCATACACCAACACACAAATATCAACTGAAGTAATATAATTTCCAAAAGTTAAGCTAAAAGTGCCCTAAAACTAATAAGTCAAAAAACTATGCTATATAAGTCAAAACTAAAGCCTTCTTCCAAACGGGCTAGAGGTGCAATATGATATATAAATACAACAAAACTATGCTACAACTGGACTAGGACAGAAGTCTATTCTAACAACTTCTTAGCTAGACTTGGACAGCATGGTCAGTTTTTCCGTTTCATCAAAGCAACCAACCTCTCAAGGTTCATAATTTTGGCTTCCAGTGTTCTCCAAGGAGGACTCTGCGGGGACGAAACACCACCTTCACCGTCTATTCTAACAGAAGCAGCAGCAGGAGCACTAGCACATCCTCCTCCTCTGCCTTTGTCTTTCTTGAAACTGACAGATACACTCTTAGCTTCAAGTAATCCTTTTTCTTGAACCATTGGCATCTCCACATGCTCTTCACTTCTTTCTCTTCCACTGCTCTCATTGCATCTATACCGCGTGCATAATCCCAGTATTTCAGGCTGCTTCTCTCCATGAACACCAGTTTTTTCAGGAGTGTGATGTTTAGACTTTTCCCTCTTCATAAGAAGTTCAGCCAGCGAAATTTCATCGTCGTGGTCTTCATCATCAAAAGAAGTGGCAGGAGGAGCGTTCTCATCAGATTCTGGTCTCGAAAGGTGGCAGCCTTCCTTTTTCCGCTTCACACCGCTGCCAACCTTTTCGGTGCCCATCGAGTCCTTGAGCCCCCATGAACGTAAGTAATGAGTGGTAACACCGCTCTGGAACGAACGTCGCGATGGGACCCACAATTTCATGTCCAGGACAGGCCTTGTGTAGCAGTCCCATGCAACCCCGGGGGATTCGTTGGCTCGCGCCACGAATGCAGGAACATCCTGATCCATTCCAAATTGCATTGCCACACGGTGTGGCAGGTATTGCTCTATACATCCCTCTAACCCAACCAGCTCACTTACTCTCAAACATCTAACAAACTCATGAACCTCTTCATCACCGTTACCCACCAATATCCACCTTTCTTCTTCTTCACCTTCTTTATAAAGAGGTGAGTTTCTGGCCCAAAACATGTAGGGCCGCCAGATAAAATCTTCTCTAACAAACTCCAAATTCTTTTTCACACTCATTTTCACATCATCCCATCTTGCAAACCTCGACTTCTCATGTCCAACACAAATGCGATTGTTTTGGTTTAAAACGGGGAATCTCTCCCAAACCCATACTTGCACCAGCCGAAATGGGGCTGAAATTGCAGATATTTTTGTCCCGTCAAGAGCAAGCAAAGCATTTTTCATGAAAGTCAAATTCTTGTAAATGATGGCCAAGACTGCGGGTGCAAGAGCGATTCTCTCTCCTCTACCTAAACGTATGGCCATGTCCAGAAGCTTTGTGCCTATGGTGTCATGTGGGGAGTAGGGGAAAACATACCTCTCCAACCATAGCACAAGAAAGGCTTCGTGCTCTATTTCACAATACTCACTGTTGTTCATGAACTTACAGATCCAGTTAGTTTGAGTGACTTTCTTTGCTGCAGATTTGTTTAACTCGGTTCGGACTTTGAGTAGCTTCTGCTTCGTGTCTTCCAATTTTCTGTCTTTAACAGGGCTGAAATCTGGGTCCACACACCCGCCCAAAACAGAGAAACCCCCAAGGACGATCATATCCTCCAGCGTGAGAGTGGCTTCTCCCCATGGAAACCAGAATGTGTTCGTTTCCGGGTTCCATTTTCTGGCGAGAGCGATGATAAGCTCATCGCTCCGGTGAATTGTGGTTGTGGAATTCATAATTGCTTCATGAATCCCGGTCTTCTTCCAAATGGGTTGGTGCAGGGTGCACATGGACTCGACCCATTTGGCCCAATCCTTGAGTGGCTTGTTGCTCCACCCGTGGAACGTAAACTTGGGGGGAGGTTCCCTGCCGCCGGCCGCTGCGGTTTGCTGCGGAAGGGAGAAGACCCGGCTGTCAGTGGAGGTGGTTGAAGGTTTGAGAAAATGGGCAGTCCTGAGGGCTGGTTTTCCACCTGCGTGTGACACCATCGCCTCTTCTCTTTCCTCCATTATCAAGTCCGCCATTTTTTGCGGAAGTGGAGTGCAACGGAGGAGGTTACCTCCCAAACCACCGTTAGTTTGCCTACTGGGCTTTGGGATTTTGAAACTGAATCGGCAAAGGGATCCTATCAATGATGGTCCTTCTTAAACATTTGTGTCTTTTTTTAACCATCAAAATCAAATGACATGTTTGAGTTCTGATAACATCTGTCGGTCAAACTCAAATGCCGTTAGATTTGCACACTCCACAATTCCCCAATAAATTTCATGCATCAGAGTTCTGAACCATGAGTTAATCTTTAAAGTTGGTAATCCAATAATGTTTCTGAGAAATATTGATCCTTCTATGAGGCTTTGCAATGGAACAAGGTTTATTGTTACACGGTTTGAGAATCACATCCTGGGAGCAAAAATTCTAGGGCGGGAGAATAAGCTGGACTTGAAGTTGTCATTCCAAAGTTAAGTTTGACTCCATCTGATTCATGAATAACGTTCACGTTTCAAAGAAGACAATTTTGTGTCATGACCACTTATACGATGACAATAAATAAAAGTCAAGGTCAATGTTTGTCGCATGTTGGTCTCTTATTAAAAAACCAGTGTAAACACATGGTCAACTGTATGTTGCAATATCAAGGGTAACAACAAATCATAACGGTTTGAAGATACTAATTTGCGGTGAAAATGATAGGCATGGATTCGGGTCGGGCCGGGCCCGGGCGGGCCGCCGGTTTGTGAAAGGTGGGCTCGGGACCGGCCCGAGGTAAAGGCGATTCCGGTTCGGGCCGGTCCACCCGCCCGGGTCACGGTTCGGGCCACCCGCTGGGTTGGGATTGGCCGGTTAAATCATTTTTTTATACTTTATAGTTTTATACAAGTATTAAAAACAAACTTCAAGTGCATTTATTTGAACTGAATAGGAACTACATTTGACAATTAAGAAAAAAATACAATATGAAATTACATTTGAGAATTGAAGGTAAAATTAAAACATGAAATACTAATCAATCGGAATCTCCATAATAGGTAGAGCCACCCTCGGTTGTAGATTCATCCATAAAGTGTTGGGATGGGGTGATTGTGGACATATAAAAATTATTGGGTCAACGTTCAATTCTGTTGGGCTGCTCGTGATGGTTGTTAGGCCCTATAAAATTATTAATATGGACTCGTTCGAATAAAATTTAATAATTGAATTAATTTGGATCATTTAAAATATCCAATTAATTTAATTTAAATCTTTAAGAGAATGGACCGGTCCTATTAAATTCCTTATTTTGAGCCCATTATTAAATAGTAGCCCAATGAATAAGAGTCATGATCCAATTGATAAAGAGAGCAATGAATATGGTTAAGAAATCCATCCGTATGCATGGAAAATGGCTACGAACCTTGTTAAAAAGGCTGTCCAAATACATCGAACAAGTGCTGATTTTTCTGGCTATTAAATGCAAGCAAATAGAGCATATTTTCATCCCCTCCACACCTATAAATAGGGGTCTCAGTTGAGAGGAAAAGGAGAGAATTTTCAGACGAAGAAACGCTGCAGAAAAGCTCTCAAGAACTCTCGAAAGGCTCTGAACGATTCCGAAGAAGAGGAATAGATCAAGCCACGAATTTTATTAAGAATATACGAATAATCCTTCATTATTTCGTCGATTCTTAATAAAATAAATCCAAAAGTTGAAGAACGTTCGAAGATCTGAAGAACGAAGCTTGAAGATTCGAAGATCTGAAGAACAAGACTTTGAAGATTCGAAGATATGAAGAACGAATCTTTGAAGATTTGAAGATACTCATATGAAGATTGAATTGAAATTCAATTGAAGATCAAGCCATATATCTCGGGAGGCTCTTAAACAAAAGATCGAGCCATAAAACGGCCCTTTTGTTGAAGATCAAGCCACTTGAAAATCGGAGGCCCTTCAAGTTGAATTCTTAATTCAAGAAGATTTGAAGATCTGACAAACGAAGATTCGAAGATTCGAAGATCTCAAGAACAAAGATTTGAAGATCTGAAGAACGTTCGAATGTTTGAAGGATTAAAGATTTAATTTTGAATTAATTTCTTTAATTATATTTATTTCAAATTGCAAGTGAAGAATCAGAGGATTCATATTTAGAGATTGTACCCAATATTCTCACATATTATTATTTGCGATCAATTTTAAGTAAATACTTAAAATTTGTTTCACAAATTTTTGGCATGCCCGGTGGGACATCTCTACCTCTCATATCTTCACTTTTGATCAAGGAAAGCGAACCAATGGCATCAAGCAAGCCCGTGTTCACTTTGAATTCTCGAGCATCATCATACTCGAATCAAAACATGCAAGGCCTCATCACTAGGATCCGGTCAAGAATCCTAGCTGCACAATCATTTTCGGGAACTACTCCCGGTGCGATGGAGGAATTTCAAACTGCGCAAGAGATGACCCGAAAGCTTTCTTCATCCATACATGAAGTTACTTCCCCGAAGTGGACAAACGGTGGTGAAAGCTCATCATCTGGTTCAGACTCTACTTCTCCATCAACTTCTCCACGAAGAACTACCTCACAGTGGTCAAATGTCTACACTGTGATGCCCACTATGACGACGAGCACCACATACAAATTGCCCATCTAACTAAGGTTATCGAGGGGATGAACATGTTCATGCAAGCTCAAGATCAGAAGTTGAATGATCTGAACAACTAAGTGGAAAGCTTGAAAGGCGAGTCAAGTCATGCCCATGAGAAGGATCCCGAAGTGCATGAAGATAATGATTCTCACCAAGAGGATTCAGGAAAGAACATCTCAACCTCTGGGGGCATGATCCCGATTGATCAACTCAAAGACTTCATCATGAGAACCATAAAGGGGAAGATAGAAGGAAAGCAGTCTACTTACTCCTATGTTAAGCCATACACTCAAAGGATCGAGGATTTGAAAATGCCCATTGGATATCAGCCGCCGAAGTTTATCCAATTTGATGGAAAGGGAAATCCGAGACAACATGTCACCCATTTTGTGGAGACTTGCAATAACGCGGGAACAAGCGGAGATCACCTTGTCAAACAGTTTGTACGTTCTTTGAAAGCAAATGCATTTGAATGGTATACCGACTTAGAACCCGGTTCTATTGACAGCTGGCAAGATATGGAACGTGAATTCCTAAACCGTTTCTATAGCACAAGGAGGGTGGTGAGTTTGCTTGAGTTGATAACTACTCGTCAGTGGAAAGATGAGCCTGTGATAACCTACATCGAACGTTGGAGGGAACTTGCCCTCAACTGCAAAGATCGGATCTCTACAAACTCTGCAATTGATATGTGCATTGAAGGCATGCATTGGGAGTTATGTTATATTCTGAAAGGAGTGAATCCAACTACTTTCGATGAACTAGCAAGCAAAGCTCGTAACATGGAGTTGAGCATTGCAAGCAGTGGAAGACAAGCCATGGGCATATATCCCATGAACAATGCCGCTGAAAAGCAAGATACTAAGAAAGGGGGCAAGCCCTTCTCTAAATTTGAAAAAAAAGAAGCAATGGTTGTGAAAGCTTCACCAGTCAAAGTCTTCACTCAAACTACCGAGAAGGCAAAGCAGGTTGCTAGAGTTGAACCTGAAACCTCTGGGCATGTCAAGCCGGCTTTGCGAGAGATGATGGAGAAGCAATATCCTTTCTTGGAATCTGATGTTTCTCCAATGTTCGATGAACTAACGAGGTTAAAACTTGTTGATTTACCTCAGTCAAAACGACCCGAGGAAGCCACAAAGGTCAATGATCCTAATTACTGCAAATATCATAGAGTGTTGAGTCACCCGATAGAGAAGTGTTGGGTGTTCAAAGACAAGATTATGGCTTTGGCCCGTGAAGGAAAGATTAAACTTGCTGATTCTACAGCAAGCACAAATCAAATTACCATTACATTTGGTAGGTTTGCTCCGCTCATGGTCGACGATGACCTAAATTCTCACAAGCATAAGCTCCCTTTTACTGTCAAGGGAATGAAAAGATGTCCGCCTCTCACCAAAAGAATGGCACTTGAGAATGTCGATGACAAAGGGAGACCATGGATCTTGGTAACTTGAAAGAAACAAAGGAAGAATCATGAACCTAAACCACAACCGAAGAAGGTGATAAAGAAATGGATTAGGCGACAACCGATAAATGATTTGAAGAAAAGGAAGGATCATGTTCGTCCCAAGGTTGCACGAAGAGTAATTACTCTCAACGATTATATGCCAAAGGATTTCAAGAGCAAGATAACTCAAACATCGAGTTCTTGCCTTAGCACCCATGAAAAAGACGTTGAGAGTTCAAATAGGGGTTTATCTCCAGTTTCGAATAAAGAGGAGGTGACCGGAGCACAAAGATCTACTTCATACGCCACTGACATTGTCTTTAAAGATAAAGATCTTATGTTGGGTGCTACTCCCTATAACCGTCCGCTTTTTGTTGAAGGATACACTCGTGGACGAAGATTCAGAAGAATTATGATAGATCAAGGGTCTGCCGTTATCATCTTAACGGTTCGAGCTATGAAAGACCTTGATATATCAATGGATGAACTCTCTCAAAGCCGCTTAATGATTCAAGGCTTCAATCAAGGGGGGCAAAAGGCGATTGGAATGATACGTCTTGATTTGGTCATTGGCGGGTTGAAGGCAAGTACTCTATGTCACGTCCATGGATCCATGAGAATGGTGTAATTCCTTCAACGTGGCACCAATGCTTCATGTATGAGGAGAACGGTGTTGTAAAGAAGGTAGTGGCCGATGAAACTCCGTTCACTGAAGCCGAGACATACTTTGCAGATGCAAAATTTTACCAAAAGGCCAAAGTTTCTAAAGAAGACGATATTAGACAAGAAGAAGAATATTGCCCCTTGACTTAACCAAAGCTGAAAGGGAAACTTGTTGAAGGCGTAGAAGGGCTTACATTCCCTCTTGCAAAAATCGAGATATCAAGGTCTCCTCAAGACACGTCTCAGGATGAAATAAAGCACAAGGATGATGTTAAGGAGTTTCAAATCCCCAAGGCACGCACTAATGAAGGATTTGACCCAAATGCATACAAACTTCTGGCCAAGGCTGGGTATAATCCTAATGAACAGAAGTTAGGAAAACTCATTCCAGAAGCTGGTGGAGAACGACCATCGAAGCAGATAAATCTTCGAGGACACACAGGTTTGGGTTACGTTCAGCCGAAACCCATAAGAATCCTTATAAATAGAGCCGCAACGCATCATATCAGTGCAAATGAAGAAGATGAGGTGACTTCTAAACCGAAGTATTCCGTCTTTGATCGGATTAGGGGGGCAAAACCAAGATCTGCCATCTTTGATAGGATGGGGCCAAAGCCAAAGAAGATCATGAAGAAAACTTTACAAGAAAGGCTTGGAGTGATCCCCTTCATGGTAAAGCACATGGAAGACCCATGTAGTGGGCAAAACTTTGAGAGAAAGCCGGTACATGAAAGGCTAGGGAAAGTTCGCTCATGCAAGAAGTCTCTCAACAAATATACAAAAACACAAGTTTTGAATGAATATAGAAGCTTGATTCCATCCCGAATGCGGCGAGAAACTGATGTGGAAGTCTCATGTGGAGAAACTCTCAAAGTACAGCTAAAAACAATTATTCATACTCGAATGACAGAAGATAATAAGTTCAGATATGATGAGTTGATTGATGATGAGGAATACATTGCTTCATCTTACCATATTACTTTCGGTGATGAAATCCCAGCCGAAGGTGAAGATGCTGATGAAGCTCCTCCGGAATTTGAAGAGGGAGTGCGAACAGCCTTGGACGAACTAAAAGAGGTAAATCTCGGCACTGAAGAGGACCCTCGCCCCATTTATATCAGTGCTCTTCTATCGAGCGAAGAAGAAGAATATGTGGCCTTACTCCAAGAATACAAGGATGTCTTTGCATGGACATACAAAGAAATGTCGGGGTTGGACCCAAAAATCGTTGTTCATCACTTAGCGATAAAGAAAGGATGTCGACCAGTAAAGCAGGCTCAAAGGCGCTTCCGCCCAGATTTAATTCCATTAATCGAGGCCGAGGTTGATAAACTTATTGAGGCCGGATTCATTCGAGAAGTAAAATATCCTACTTGGATATCCAACATTGTCCCGGTAAGAAAGAAGAATGGACAAATCCGAATATGTGTTGATTTTCGGGATCTTAACCTTGCATGTCCAAAAGATGACTTTCCACTTCCCATCATTGAATTGATGATAGATGTTATGATTGGGCATGAAATTATGTCATTTATGGATGGTTTCTCCGGTTATAATCAGATTCGGATGCCCCCCGCAGATGAAGAATTGACTGCCTTCCGAACTCCTAAGGGGATCTATTGCTACACGGTCATGCCATTTGGACTTAGGAATGCAGGAGCTACTTATCAACGAGCTATGCAGGCAATATTTGATGTTATCCTTCACAAAATCGTGGAGTGCTATGTTGACGACCTCGTGGTGAAATCAAAAGCCCGAGGCGATCATCTATCACACTTAAGAGTAGTATTTGATCGCTTGAGGAAGTTCGGTCTCAAAATGAACCCTCTGAAGTGTGCTTTCGGAGTTTCGGATGGGAAATTCCTTGGGTTTATTGTCTGTCACAAAGGCATTGAGATAGAACAAGCCAAAATCGACGCTATTGTGAATATGCCGGAGCCTCGAAATATTCATGAGTTGAAGAGTTTGCAAGGAAAATTGGCTTACATACGGAGGTTCATCTCGAACTTATCTGGAAGATGTCAACCGTTTAGTCGAATTATGAAGAAGGGTGTGCCTTTCATATGGGATCAAACGTGTAAGAATGCGTTTGAAAATATCAAGGCTTATTTGATGAAACCACCGGTCCTAAATGCACCTATCTTTGGCCGCCCTTTGATACTTTACATTGCTGCTCAAGAAAGGTCTGTGGGAGCTCTATTAGCTCAAGAAAATGATAGAGGGAAGGAGAATGCCCTTTATTATTTAAGCAGAATGATGACCCCACACGAGTTGAAGTACTTGCCCATTGAGAAATTGTGTTTGGCCCTTATATTTGCAATCAAGAAGCTTAAACACTACTTTGAAGCTCACACGAGAAATCTTGTCTCCAGAGCAAATCCGCTGAAGTATGTGATGCCCAAAGTGGTTCTATCTGATCGTCTTGCTAGGTGGTACTTGATATTTCAACAGTTTGAGATTGTTTATTTCTCACAAAAATCTGTAAAAGGACAAGCTTTGGCAGATTTCCTAGCCGATCACCCTATCCCTGCTGAGTGGGAACTTTCTGATGATCTACCTGATGAAGATGTGCTCATAATTGATGTTTTGCCTCCATGGAAGATGTATTTTGATGGAGCTGCACATAGAGAAGGTGCAGGAGCTGGTGTGGTATTTGTTACACCCGAAGGTCAAGTTCTGTCATATGCTTTCACGCTTACGGAACAATGCTCCAATAACGTCGCTGAATACCAATCACTCATTCTCGGACTTGAAATAGTTGTAGACATGAAGCAAACACGAGTTAATATCTATGGCGATTTCAAAACTAATCATCAATCAAGTGCTTGGAATTTATGAAGTAAGGAAACCTGAACTACATCCTTACAAAAAATATGCAAGGGCACTCATAGGATGGCTGGGTGAAGTTACAATTGAACACATGCCAAGAAAGGAAAACAAGCAAGCTGATGCACTGGCAGGGTTAGCATCGAACATGGCACACCTTGACAATGGAACTCAAGTACGGGTATGTCAAAAATGGGTAATTCCTCCATTCATTGGGGACGATGGTGCAACCGAAGAGATAGTCGAGATGCCAACTACCTCGGTTTATGATATTGAAAATTAAGATTGGAGGCAGCCGCTCATTGATTATCTCACTGATGGGAAATTACATGAAAATCCCCGCAAGAAAGTAGACTTGAAGAGGCGTTCACCGTGTTTCATTTACTATAAAGATACACTTTATCGAAGATCATTCGATGGTGTATTCCTTAGGTGTTTGGGTGGACATGAAGTCTTACAAGCAATGGAAGAAGCACATTCAGGAGTATGTGGAGCTCATCAGTCCGGTCCTAAGCTGCACTTTCATATCAAGAGGATGGGATATTATTGGCTGACCATGGTAAAAGATTGCATGGACTATGCTAGAAGATGTCAAGCATGCCAATATCACACAAATTTCATCCATCAAGCACCAGAGCCTTTGCATCCGGCAGTAACATCATGGCCATTTGACGCTTGGGGACTTGACGTGGTTGGGCTAATCACGTCTAGCTCATCAGGAGGGCATTCATACATACTAGCCGCTACTGATTACTTCTCAAAATGGGCCGAAGCAATTGTATTGAAAGAGGTGAAGAAGGAAAATGTTGTTGATTTCATCCGAGTTCATATCATCTACCGCTTTGGTATTCCCCGATATATCTTGACGGACAATGGGAAACCTTTTGACAACGAGTTGATGGACAAGATATGCAAGTTATTTGATTTCAAGCAACGGAAGTCCTCTATGTACTATGCTGCCGCCAATGGCCTCGCTGAAGCTTTTAACAAGACTCTATGCAACCTGTTGAAGAAAGTAGTGTCAAAATCAGAGAGGGATTGGCACGAAAGAATGGAAGAAGCATTATGGGCATATAGAACGACTTATCGAACACCTACCCAAAGCACTCCATATTCTTTGGTGTATGGTACCGAAGCAGTCCTTCCCCTTGAGCGCCAAATACCATCTCTGAGATTGGCTATTCAAGAAGGACTCACTGATGAAGAAAACGTCAAGTTGCGGTTGACAGAACTCGAGGCACTTGATAAAAAGAGGTTAGAAGCTCAGCAGAACCTAGAATGCTATCAGGCTCGTATATCGAAATCATTCAACAAAAGGGTTAGAATTCGCTCATTCCAAGTTGGCGATAAAGTTCTAGCTGTGAGAAGACCTATCATTATCACACGAAAAACGGGGCACAAATTCTCACCTAAATGGGATGGTCCTTATGTTATTCAAGAAGTATATTCAGGCGGTGCCTACAAGTTCGTCAATGGAGATGGCTCAAAGATTGGCCCGATCAATGGAAGATTTTTAAAGCTCTACTACCCTTGATATTTGGGCTATAGATATGGCCATAAGAAATGTCGAATGGCTTAAACCACCAATGATGTTGTAAGTGGCTAAACTGCTAAAACATTTCACCTTGTCTATGGGTGAGCATAATCATAGATACTCTTGGCCCACGAGAGTTTAAAATGTGTACGGCAAGCTCTTGGCCCACGAGAGTTAAAAATGTGTACGGCAAGCTCCTGGCCCGCATGAGTTAAAAATGTGTACGGTCCCCTCCTTCAAATTACCAATTCAAATGGTACATATGAACTACGTTTGACTTGATCTCCTTCATAGGAGTACGTAGGCAGCTCAAAAGTTTCATTTTTGAGTTCAGTTATAACAAAATAAATCCCAATTAAGTCATTTTGTCAAAGAGAATATCAGAAGAAGGCTTACGAAAAAAGACAGATGAACGGCAAAGGCTTAGGGAATTCTTTAATCTCCTTCTCATCGGAAGTAGATTGAGTTGAGCTTCGAACGACGTCTCCACAACGACATCACCATCCCAACAACGGAGCGAGTAGCACTGACGGTATGGGCAATCAGCAAAGCTACACGATTATCAAAATAACAGCTAGCATTAGAACTCTCAATTTTTCCGGCGAGTGGAAGAGGATGCATAGCGTAAAGCAGTCAAGATTGTCCCAGAAAAAAAGCAAAAGAAAAATACCCAAAAAAGAGGGGACATGAAATTCCTAAGCATCCCAAATAAGACCAGATAGCTCAAGTCTAAAAAAAAGAAAATCTGGAAGGTGAAAATCCTGAATAGGCCCAAAAATTAATGAAGGCCATTAAAAGCAACTCCTCCAGCCGGGTCATCTACTTCCAGTCAGCTTCTTAGCACGCAGGTACTAAAGAAATCAACAGCAGCCCTGCGATTCTTCATCCTCCAGCGAACATAAGGATACCTTAGACCCTCCTCGTTGGAAATCGACAGCAGCAGTGAATTAACGAGGTAAATTCTGAGGAAATCAGTGACCTCGACTCCTTGAAATCTCTATTCGTTGCATCTACGAAACTCGGGCCAGCAACATTTCTGACCACAGACCTCGCCAGAAATCAGCAACAAAAACCAGCCCAACAACAAATTAGCACCGGCGACGGCAACTTTTCTTTCCCGGTCAGGTCTTCTTCTCCCAGGTACGACAAAAGATCCCAGCAACAAGGCAGATCCCTCCTATGAACGAAAATCAGTTTCAAGCAAGACGAGATCTTCCTCACCGGCATTTCTCTGACCAGCGAAGCACCAACTGGTTTATCATCTCCCCGTCAAGCGATTGGTCTCATCTGTTGGCAATCCTCTTTTGTACCAAGGCTGAAGTAACAGAATCAACGAGCGATTGAACTCCATGGCAAACAAGTAGCGACTGGCACCAACAATCAGCCACTCGTCTTCTTATTTCCGACTAGCAACCGGCTTCAAGTCCCAGTGACGAGTCAGCAGCGACGATAGCTTTCCGACGAACTGCACAAGTCATACGCCGAGCTCCATCTTCCTTGAAACGGCAACCAGCCACCAGCGATTAGGTAGACCGCTTCAAGATTCTGGCATCGATTTCCGACAAATACAGCACCTACGCCATCATCTCGGCGGCAGCAACAAAAATCAGCATCTGGATCCAAATTCTTGGTGTCAACACCGACTAGCTTCCGCGACATCTGACCCCAACAATCTGCCAAACACCAACTAGCTCTTCGTGTACAGCGGCAGGTTCTATCAGCGTCAACACCGACAAGCTTCCGAGGCATCCGACCCCTGCAATCTGCCAAACACCAACTAGCTCTCGTGTACCGCCTTCAAACGACGACACCAACTAGCTTCCAACCCGAACAGTCCGGCAAGAGGCGGCAACATCTTTTCCAACACCGACTAGCTTCCAACACCAACTAGCTTCCAATCCGAGCAATCCGGCAAGAGGCATCAGCACCTATTCAAGTATCATCTCCTTCTCTGCTTCGGCAGTCAGCAGATCGCTACAGCTCCGAAAGAATCTCGCCGCAGAGCACTCCTCATTGGAATTCACAAACCGAGTCGGCAGAACCAGCATATGGAGTTTAGCGGCCAAATTGTGTGAACAGATTGTAGCTCACCGGCGGAACCAGCAAATTGTAGTTCACCGGGATATATTTTAGCAGATAAGGCAACGAAATTCATTATGGTGCTGAAATTCCTTTACACATGCAATACGAACAAGAGGGAGAGGAAAGAAAATATATTGAAAATAAAGTTACCTGTTTGTATCCTAATTGCTGGCTCTGGAGGAAATTCGTGGATGGCCAGAGAACCAAAGTCCTGATAGGATAGCCATCCTTAAAAGTTGAAGACTATTGGGAATCTCCTATACTCCGTATAACTTGATATCTCCTGCTTGAAGTTTGAGTGAGAATTGCAATTGGAGTGTAATACAATGTGATATGTCCCACTTTAACTCGATTGGGAATGCACTTGGTTGAAGAAATTAAAGTCGTTGCATTTTTCTAGGGACCTCAATTAAGCCCGATCCAAATTTAATAATTGAATTAATTTGGATCATTTAAAATATCCAATTAATTTAATTTAAATCTTTAAGAGAATGGACCGGTCCTATTAAATTCTATATTTTGAGCTCATTATTAAATAGTAGCCCAGTGAATAAGAGTCATGATCCAATTGATAAAGAGAGCAATGAATATGGTTAAGAAATCCATCCGTATGCATGGAAAATGGCTACGAACCTTGTTAAAAAGGCTGTCCAAATACATCGAACAAGTGCTGATTTTTCTGGCTATTAAATGCAAGCAAATAGAGCCCAAGGGATATGGACGAATTTCCAAAACCCTAGAGCATATTTTCATCCCCTCCACACCTATAAATAGGGGTCTCAGTTGAGAGGAAAAGGAGAGATTTTTCAGACGAAGAAACGCTGCAGAAAAGCTCTCAAGAACTCCCGGAAGGCTCTGAACGATTCCGAAGAAGAGGAATAGATCCAGCCACGAATTTTATTAAGAATATACGAATAATCCTTCGAGATTTCGTCGATTCTTAATAAAATAAATCCAAAAGTTGAAGAACGTTTGAAGATCTGAAGAACGGAGCTTGAAGATTCGAAGATCTGAAGAACAAGACTTTGAAGATTCGAAGATATGAAGAACGAATCTTTGAAGATTTGAAGATACTCATATGAAGATTGAATTGAAATTCAATTGAAGATCAGGCCATATATCCCGGGAGACCCTTAAACAAAAGATCAAGCCATAAAACGGCCCTTTTGTTGAAGATCAAACCACTTGAAAACCGGAGGCCCTTCAAGTTGAATTCTTAATTCAAGAAGATTTGAAGATCTGACACGAAGATTCGAAGATTCGAAGATCTCAAGAACGAAGATTTGAAGATCCGAAGAACGTTCGAACGTTTGAAGGATTAAAGATTTAATTTTGAATTAATTTCTTTAATTATATTTATTTCAAATTGCAAATGAAGAATCAGAGGATTCATATTTAGAGATTGTACCCAATATTCTCACATATTATTATTTGCGATCAATTTTAAGTAAATACTTAAAATTTGTTTCACAGTGATGTCAATTTCTTGAGCATTACGGGCCGCCTTCAACCAATCATGGTAGCATATAAGCATCTCAAGAGATTCTGAGCTCAACCTCGTTCTACATTGCGTTAGGACATTGCCGGCCGAACTAAATTCTTGTTCGACGGCAACTGTTTAAACCGGCATTGATAGCACTTGCTTAGCCATCTTTGCTAAAACCGGGAACATTCTTTCTTTTCCCTTCCACCAGTTTAGAACGTCAAAGTTATCATCTTCTTCAAAATCAACATCATATGTTAAATACAAAGAAATCTCATTAATTGTGCTTTGTTGAGTAGCGGGTGTTGTTTTAGTTTTTTTAATAAGATTGGCAAATGTAGATTTCAAAATTGATTTTCCTTTTGATGAAGAGGTTTGTGTCGGGGGAGGGGACGCGTTGTCATATTGTGCATGCAAGTTGCGTTGCCATATTGTGTCATCGGGTGTTTGGCCTTAAGATGCCTTGTGGCGGATCCGTATCCGCCGGAAATCCCCAAGCTATAATTTTTCTTGCACCACTTGCAAGTTGCGTTCCAATTCCCGGTGTTCGGGTCCTTCCACTTATCAAAATTATTTTGCATTAGTTCAGATCTACTTTTTTCGTACCTGTTTGGGATGAGGCAGGCTCGTCTGCGTCGTGACTGCCGCCACCCTCCTCCCTGTCGCCGTCGTGGCTCTCCAGAATTACTTCCTCCACATCGTCGTCCTTGAGCTCTTCTTCGTCAATGGTCCTCGGCTGGTCTCAGAAAAACCGACTATTATGTCGGTGCAATTCTTGTTCAAGTTGTTCGTCGGTCATGACATCCTCATCCCTCCTTGCATAACATGTATCAAAATCATCTCGGCTTTGAGATTAAGAGCCAATATGTGATTTACCTTTGCGAGATTTCTTCCTCACAAGCTCGTTCGTTCGGTTGCGCTCGAGATTACCCATATCAACCGAATATCTACCACCTTCCATCTTAAAAATGTAACAAATATTAATTTATAAAAACAATTCGAACTAATGAAATAAAATTCTAACAATTCTAACTTTAATGAAATAAAATTCTAACAATTCTAACTGAGTAGATATAAATTGTAATATGTATGTATTTAGTAGATATAAGTAGATAATAAGTAGAGATTAAGTAGATAACAAATACGATAGTATAAGTAATATAATATATGTATTTATAAATAGATAATTAATATATAACTATATGAGTAGATAAGAAATATAAGTAATATAAATTATAATATATGTATTTCTAAGTAGATACTTCGTATATAATATATTGGAGAATAAGAGAATTTGAGAAGATGAAGATAATTAGAGAGTAGAGTTGGGGATTTTGGAGAGTAACATATCTTCAAACTAAAGTGGCTGATCAAAACATATCTACTAGAGAGTAGGATTTTGGAGAAGAGATATGGAAAAATATTTAAGATTAAGAGTATTTATAATTTTTTTTACCCCACCCCTCAACCCCCAGACCCCCCTCCAGCCCACCCAACGGCTATATAGCCGTTTGGGTAGTCCCCAACCCACCCCCAACGGCTAGCTGTGGCCCAAACCCAATTTTCTTTTTTTAATTTTTGATCATTTGACCGATGGACCCGACCCGGCCGGGCCGGGTCACCCTTTGCCTGACCCGAGCCCGCCCTGCTTCCCCCCCGGTTCAGGTCTCCACCCGGTCTCAGACTGCCAGACCGGGCCGGTCCCGAGCCCGCACAGTAGCGGGCCGAGCCAGGTCACGGGCCAAGTGGCCCGAACCGAATCCAAGCATAGAAAATGAGGAATAGATGAGCCATACGACCAACTGCCAAGTACCAATGTTGTTTACAAGAAGTATTTCGCAATGTGTAGAGTACATATTTCTTATTGTAATATTTATTTTTCCTTACTCTCCCAAGTTATTATTCGTACCAATTACGAGTCATAAGTATATTTTCCTTAATATATGTCCCGTGAATCGCACGGGTGAGAATCTAGTTGCTACTAACCATCAAACGTTGAACCACAACAAATGTTCATGAGCAATAAAATGTGCTTGAATAAACTTCTGTAATCTGCCATTATAGTATTTTAATTTCATCAATAGTATTTTAATTTCATCACCGAAATGAAAATTACAGTGTTTACTTACAAATGCCTCTGCAAACTACAAAGCACAAGAAACATAACCAGCAAAGTAAGGATTGTATTATTGTGTACATTTTAGTGGTGGTCACACTAATCATCATCTGATCAACTACGGATTAGCTACTTGGTAGCCTAGTTCAGATCAATTTCCCAGGCAGAAGCCAGCTGCAACAATAGTTGATCTGGAGTTGGACCTTCACAAACCTCAGGAAACTCAACTGTTGAAGAGATGTTATGCAAATTGGATACAAGTTCCTTTTTCACTTCATCAGGGATATCCAGACTACCAGGTCCATGCTCTAATATAATATCTGCCAGCTGAGATAGGATAAAAATCACTAATCACTCAAGGGTATTATGTTAAAAGACTAAAAGTGACTGAGTAGCAGTTGAATCAAAACAAAAAATGTTAGCACTCTGCTTTTACGGATCAGAAGCTTAATATTTTTTATTGTTACTAGCTTGCAGATATACTCTATTCATATAATTACAAAAATGCCCCCCAAAGCTACCGGTCTACACTATTTCAGTCAAGCTCAAGCATCTTGAAGCTACTAGATATAAGTAGAGCTTCGAGCTCAACTTAACTTGATTACACCCATATGAACAACCATAGTGCATGTGCTATGTTTGCAGAGAGTGGAGTAATGGTATCCGTCAGTTGTATTCACCAAATGTTAACATAATAACAGACTAGCAACCAAAAGTGCAAGAGAGTAAGGAGACTTATCATGAATATATTATTATGATGGTTGTCTTTATCATTCCCCACAAGATGGACATCCGTGAGGAGAGTCTTATTCTGGTTATTGAGATGAATGAAGTGCGCCTCAAGAAAGGGGTTTCATGAGAACATCAGCAAGCAGATTGTCAAAGTGAACATGAGACATGCGGAAAATACCGCTTTGACCATGTTTCGGTGATAGGAATGGGCCTATTATTAGAGATAATAATAAGCGGGCCTATTATTGTAGATAATAATAAGTGGGCTTGTAATAGAAATAGAAGTACTATAAATAGTAAGGAAGGGGTGAAAGGAGAGGTAGGCAAGTATTCAAGTGGTCACTGTCTTTCCAACTGGGCTCTATCCTTTAATGTATCAATCACAATCCTTCCTAGCCGGGACAGGAATTGGTACATTAAAACTTACAACTGTTTCTCTGAAGTCGGGGCAAGCTGCTCCTGGAGTTCCTAATGGTAAATGTTCTAAAGAGTTGATTACCAGTACCACATTCTCTGCTATCTGTGGCATTCATTACACGTTTATGGAGATGAAGGATGATGATATTCAACCCACAGGACGACCACCAGATAATCCGGAAGGCGCAGCAAATGTTGAGGCCGATGCCAGCTCACTTTCAAAGCCTGCTTTGCTCGAAGAGACAGTTGTTGAAGCTGCACAGGGCCTAAACGAGGTATTGATGAAGGCTGTAGCCAACATAGTGACATGTGTATTGGTTGGTGACAGTTTGTTAGTTGTTGATCTGATAACTGCAGATCTTAAAACCTCAGATAGAACTGTATTATCAACTGATATTGATTCAGCCAGTATGATTCCAAGTCTATTACACAGGGATGGTGAGAGGGGAAGATTGTGTGGGGTCGCAAAAGCCAATGATCTTATTGGACAGGTTTCCTTTGTAGATGAAAACAATGCATCTACTGAGCTTGATATTATGCATAAACTGGCCACAAATTTCTGGAGAGTTACTGGAATTAGTGAAAGTTGTTTGAGAGGCAAATGGCAGGTTCGTACGGAAGCAAGGCATGCAGCTCTTGCATCATCTACAACATTATTTGGTTCTGCTGGTGATGATTCAACCTGTAAGGACCTGGGTATTGGTCATGATTCACTCTTACCATCTTTAGGACAGTTGAATGAGCCTGAAAAGCTTTCTATGATGAGAAACACTACATGGATTTTGTTTAACTTCTGTCAAGACCAGCCACCAACACCCGTTGACCTGGTCAAAGCTGCTTTACCCGTTCGTCAGCAACTAATCCATATGAAAGAGGAAGTCATGATGAATGTTCAAGAAGTGGAGCTCCTAGCTCAGAAATCCAGGAAATATTGGGAAGGCAGAGGTGCCAAGATGAAGTTGAATAGCATGCCTGTTTATTACTCCCCACCTTGAGGACAAGGTGGTTGTTTAGGGGGCGAGTATTGATAGGAATGGGCCTATTATTAGAGATAATAATAAGTGGGCCTATTATTGTAGATAATAATAAGTGGGCTTGTAATAGAAATAGAAGTACTATAAATAGTAAGGAAGGGGGGAAAGGAGAGGTAGGCAAGTATTCAGTTGGGAATAGACCGGGAGACTGGGCATCTTGAATCGTCCAAGGCTACTGTATTCTTCTTTGTTCAGTTCATCCGTGATAATAAGAATTTCCGGTCTTTTCTTCTTCATTTCCTATTGATTCTATACTGTTTTGAGCTAGCGATTACCAGAGTTCTATCATTCGGAATACCACGTTGTATGTAAGTGTTAATGTTTTTATTTCTCAATTGTTGTACAGTTGATGAGTTGACCATTTGATGTTATCTAAATTAAGTTTCGTTGTAAAGTAGCAGTTGAACTTGGATATACTCAATATTTTAAACAGTCCATAGTCCGTACGTGGATTCAAATATGTTAGACACTTAGACCATTAATGTTATGTTGTGTTCATACTAATTTGTTAAACTGGCAAGATTTAGTGTTATTTCACAATTTATTAAGGGTTGCCTAAAATGAAAATCCCATGACCCAACATGTTAAGGGTTATCCAAGTCTGGTAGCAGCTGAAGTAGGGCTTTAGTGGAGATGGGAGAGGACCATGTATTGCCGAAACCCCGAAACCACCAACACGGTGTCCACAGAAGTTGGCTTGGGCCTAGCCATGGAGGGAGAGAGGCAGCACGGTTGGAAGTGACAGGAAGATAACATAGCCAAAGAGCTGGAAGGATCAGTTCTTGATTGATAAGTGTGCAGTACTGCAGTTCATCAAAAGCATGAGCATACCACTGCTATTGACAACGTTTATGACCATCTTTGTAGAGCACACCTTATCGATCAAGGATTATCTCAACAGTCTTCCATTATCAAAGGGTTTCCAAATTATGTGAGGTCATTGTGTGGGTTCCTTTTCTTTCCTGCTTAAGTAGAGAGACAATTTGTGCGACTTATCTTTGTTTGGGCTCCACAAAGTGGCTGCAATTATATCCCAAGTAGTGGTGGCGCATGTGATGAGAGAGATGATATGCCCTGTCAGCATACCAATCATGGTTCTTGAGATGACTTTTCTTGGCAAGCCCAGGCAACATAGGTGGGGTTCAGGAAAGATATGCACTGTGTTATCTAATCGCCGAGTACTAACCAAGTAATCGCTATTCGGGGTAGGGCCTTGTCAAGTAGTATTCTGAGTCACACTGTTCCATTTAGGATTGTTTTTTAGGAATTAGGATTATTATTTTATTCATATTAAAGAATTATAAGACTAATATATTACTAGAATTTTGGGGCATTTGTATTTTTAACTTTAATTCATCCATAGCCGAGTAATCCGCCGAGTAATCGGTGCTAACCGTTACTGGGAGCTTGACCGAGTTGCCGCTCAGTAGTGATTTAACTACTTAGTTTACGCCATCAACATTGATACTGCCTTAAGGGGCGTTATAAAGAGTCATTTGCATGTTCTTTAAGACTGTCTAACCAGGGTTGCATGAAATTGAAATGTCATGGCCGGTAGTTTGCTATGACTGAATTTTTATGTAGTGTGGAGATTCATGGCCAATTAGAGAGGTTTGGTGATATCATGAGGATTGGAAACGGTGAGCTTAGAGGACGATGTCGACGTAAAGTGGCCCATAAAAGGAGCATACAGAAGTCAAGATGAGGACAGTGATTTAGTTCAGGCTCTTACCGTCATGAAAGTGGAGAAACAGCATCGTTTTACACTCTCAGGTTTACAGCAGTATTATATATGAAGTACAAAATTGAAAATACACAACTTAAAAGGTTTAAGATAAGAGAAAGCTAACAGCCAATGATAAGTAAACAGTAAGGACGATGGAGACTTATCAATGTTTCACCAAATTTTCTGCTGGCCGTTAGTTTAAAGAAGATACTGAAACATGTTTATTATTAGTCCCATCTTTAGTATGTTTTTTAGATGGAAACTAAAAAGATAGAGATGATATGCCATGGTTATGTTATTTTGACTAGAACCAAAGATAATATATCTTTCGGTAGTTAACGAAAATAATTATTCAGGCAGCAGAGATTCAAGGAATGTATGATACCATAAAACAATCATGAGGAAGCAATAGGATTGGTTGGACAAATATACCTGCTGAACCCAAGGTAAGCCAATGTAGAACAAGTTTTGTTCCACCAGAAACTGAGCAACTGCATGCAAGACCTCACTTACTACCTCATTAGACAGTTGGTCAATCACGGGACCTGAAATCTCCATTAACTTTACAAGCAGGACGTCATCTTCAATAGATAAAACATCAGCAAAAGCTGAATCCACATCACCCACAGCAACTGCATCCATGGCATTCCTCCAAGAAGTCCATACTGGATCGCGTTCTTGGACATTATTACCACCACCTAAAGCTTCAGCAGTTAATTCTGGAATAGCTACTCTAGAACCACGAGAAGTTCCACTGTCATCACCAGCAACACGAATTGCTTCCAAAGTTGCTTCATCCTTTGAGGCTCGCCACACACTTCTAGCTGAAGGCCCTTCACCAAACCCAAAAGGTAGAGCTCCTTTTTCCCAGGCTCTTCTGCTTCCGACCTGATCAGTAGTCTCGTTTTCAGATTTAGGTGACCTACCATCATAGGAAGAACTAGCCACTGCTCTCCTAGAGCCCATATACACATTCTTACCATATGTATGGAAGTCCCAAGCATCAGTGGCATCAGATCTCCGAGGCAGGCCCCTCCCCCTTATCCCTGAAGGCATGCCATCAGATTGCACAAATCTCTCTCCAAAATGAATGCGCCCATCATTACCCGTCACTAGTTTTCCACCACAGTATTCTGAGAAGCCACTGTTGTATTTTACTGAAGGTCTGTTATTTGGTGATCCCTCAAATACAGTCCTAAAACTACTACCTCTTCGACCTGCAGATATTGATAAATTTTGTGCCATTTCATCAACTACTCTCTCAAGACCACGCACTCTGCTCTCAAGAGTCACCATGCTATCATGAGACCCGCCCATGAAATCCTGCATTACAAACTATTAGTGATAGAAGCAGGCAATATATCCTTCTTTCTAGCAGATTAGTCAATGACCATACCTGCAACATGTTCATAAGATGAGATTGCTGCCTCTCAAGTTGCAATAACTGCATTTGAATGGCTAGCCAGTTTCCTTTGTTATTTAAAAAGCCCTCTGACTGCCCAACACTCCTAGCATGACTGCTGGTTGGCTCCCTTTGGCTTAGATCAACTCCATTAAGTCTAGAACTCGCTCCAGAAATGACCCGGTCACCACTATGATATCTATCATTTGGCTGGCAGTTTCCTCTTACCCTTTCGTTGGCTGTGTCACTGGGTACAGAACCTTCCTCATTTTGTACATTTGATGCATTAAGACAACGTCGTGGGACAACAACTTCTACAGGCAAATCATCCGACCCCCTTGTTTCCAGTTTTTGGAAGAATTCTGGGTTCCATTCCTTATCAGTCAGAGCTGGAGCTTTTTTCTTCAATATCCCAACAGTTTTTTCGGAGATGCTGCCACCGTTGGGTTTGGAAACCGAATCACTTGGAGAAGGTTTGTTGGAAGAATCATTAACTACAGTCTCATGCTTCTCACGGTTTTGAAGCTCTCTACTCTCTGAGAAATCAGCTGATTCAGAAGTTTCACCATCTGAAAGGTTGAATTAATATACAAGGTTTGTAAATGAGATGTAAACAAAAATGTTAACTAGTCCGAGCAGATTCAGAAATGTAAGCTTTTCCCACAAAGAAAACAATAAATGAGAAAAAAACAAATGCAGGAAGGTTATAGTGCATTCACTACCATGAGTTTTTTTATCATTATCATGCATAACCCCATTTCCTTTTCCTGCAATTTTCTTCCAAAGCTGCAAGGCCTCCAACATACTATCTCTAACAGGTTTAATCTGAAAAAATCACCCTAGTAAGTATTGTTATATAAACAAGTTGCCAAAGAAGAAAATAAGATTTGACATGATATAGATATTTTTCTCTCACAAAATGATTGAACTATGAAGTTATCAGCATGAGAAAGGCAAACATTTGGATAACCATGATTCCCAGACATCAAGGAAATGAAGTGGATAGTAATGCACATCTTAAGCTACTCCAAAGAAATTGTATGATTATGACCATTCATTGAGCACATAGATTTTCTTTTAAACAAGCGCAATTAACTTTCATTATAGAAAAGGTATGCCAACACCCTCATTATACATAACTGCTGTGGGAAGAGATACCTTGTCAAACCGAGAAGCTTCAAGTACAGTCAATACTGAAGCAGCTTCCCTGGTTACCAAGTTGCTTGAATGTAATGCCAGGGCAGTTAAAGTATCAGCTGCCGCCTTACGAGTTGCCCACTCTGAGCTGCTAATGCATTCTTGTAAGCTGCGTAGTAATGATTCAAAATTTTGTGGTGCAATGGCTCCAACCTGCACCACCACAAAAGTTCTTATCTTACCTAATCCCAATTTTTATCCATATAAGTTTGCTTGGTATGTAAGAGAATTAGAATAACGGGCAAAATCAGAGCTTAGTTCTTAGTAGCATTCACTAAATTCAACATAAATAAATTTGAGATGCTATCACAGATTAGAATATCTTTACTACTTAGCATCAATTACTAGATCCCACGTAGTTTTTAGATACATCACCGAATATAATCTACTCTTTGGTAGTAATTGCCAGATTCAGCATATTTTTCATACAAAGTACTCATTAATACCAATTAGTACTAGATTCAACTAAAAATCAAGTGAAATTTAAAGAATGAATGAGTTGGAATAACAGTAACGATTTAAAGACGCTGGTAACTAGGTATAGATGAAAAGAAACGAGTGAACTGGCCTGAGATAAGTTTGACACAACAAACAACAGCGAAGCCTTTGCCATGAAATTAGGACTATTAAGGTACTTGCAGATCCGTGGGCAAAGCTTCTGAAATGCAAGAACGGGCGGGTCAGAGGCACGTTCCACCATTTTAGCCATACACATTGCAGCTCCACCTTGCACAGTCTTGTTATTCTCGCCCATTGCCTCGAAGAGAGGCTTCACAAACAGAGAGACCACAGATCCAAGCCCGCCCCCACTTTCAGCCTCCCCCTTGAGGTACTGTGAGGAAAGCCTGCCAATGGCATCACAGCAAGCTTCCCTGACGGCTGAATCAGCGTCCTTCAGCCTCTTCACAATGTGGGCAATGATTTTGGTTAGATGAGTTGCCGTGGAATCTCCGTGGGCAGCACAGAGGGCAGCGAGGAGAAGGAGGCTCTCCTTCTTGACGGCAGGCTTTGAGTCATTGCTGGAGTCGTAGAGGCAGTTTAGAAACATGGGAACTCCGTCGTGTGAGAGAGTCTGGATGATCTTCTCGAGGTCCTCGACAGCGATCTGGTGCGTGTCTCGGTCCGAGAGCTTGGAAAGAGAGGTAAGGATTCTCTGCTTGAGTTCCACCATTGCCAAGTGGGAAGAGAGGGAAGAAGTTGAAGATCTTGAGGGTGCTGTGGTCGGTTGGTTTGGGGGCTTTGACGGTTTTGCAGATTTGATTCCTGAACTCATCTTCGACTTCTGGGAAAGAAGATTTCAGATTTCAGAGCACTGGAAGTTTAAGAAATCAATTCAATGAAGAGGTGGGATAGTTGAAAGGAAACAAGCAAAGAGGGTAGAGTCGCAGGGAAGGAAGTACGATATGTGTGACTTAACACCTCCGATTCGAAAACAAACACAATCAGTTAATAATGGCCTAAACTGAGCAATTAAATTTAAAATTCAAATTCTTTTTCAACGGATAATTTTAGCACATGATAATTTTTTTCCCAATAAATAATTCCCAAAATAATGGTGAGTTTAAAATAATTCCCAAAATACTGGTCGGTTAAGCGTGGTTAAGAAAAGCTGACACTTGAAGTGACGGCTCTTCTCTTATACCGAGTAGTACAAAAGCCGTCACTTGGAGTGTCGGCTCTTATCTTACGGTCCATTTTGTACATATATAAAACGCAGTATGTTTCAAGAATTTGTTTAAGTGCCTTCCCGATTGAAGTTCGAGTTGAAATTTGGTATGCATAAACTAGAATTGATGAGGAACATGCTCAAAAAAATTCATCAAAAGGGTGGTCCGGTCACCTCAATTTGAGGTGGTTCCCGGTGAGATGTTTTAATGATTTTTTTGTGTATGTTATTCATAAAGTCTAGTTCATGCATACCAAATTTCAGAACCAATTTCAATCGGGAAAGCAGTTAAATGATTTTTTAAAGATAACTGCGTTTTATATGTATAATCCGGCGTAGTTATCTTTCGAAAATCATTTGACGGCCTTTCTTTAAAAAATCATTTAACTGCTTTCCCGATTGAAATTGGTTCTGAAATTTGGTATGGATTAACTAGACTTAATGAATAACATACACAAAAAAATCAGCAAAATATCCTACCGGGAAGCACCTCAAATTGAGGTGGCCGGACCACCCTTTTGTCATGACGTCCTGACCGGAACCCCCCACGGAAAACACCATCAGAGGGTGTTTCCGGTGGGTTTTTTTGATGATTTTTTTTGAACATGTTCCTCATCAAGTCTAGTTTATGCATACCAAATTTCAGCTCAAAATTAAATTTGGAAGACAGTTAAACAAATTCTTGAAACATACTGCTTTTTATATCTTTCTATATACAAAACGAAGTGGGAAGCCAGCCACTTTTCCCGCCAAAACTTTGTGCTCTCAATGGGGTCCACTTCATTAGAGTGAATTTATTTTACTTTAACTTTTGTTTAAATGAAAGATTCTCTCCAATATTGATCTATGCAGCGGATCAGCAGGTCTGGGGTCCACTTCATTTATTGAATTTTGTTTGTTGGACTAGTGCTTGAACCAATGAAAGATTCGGCATTTGCAGTAAAGATTTTGTTGGGTCCGATGTATTGGTCAAACGAATCAGTTTAGAGGTTGAGCATTTAATGAAGTGGTTGAGGGTTGAGCATTTAATGTGGTAGTTGGGTGTTCAAACTTATGCATATCATTTGCCTATAAAAGCTGACATCGGATGTTTTCAAACCAACACTCCCTTCACTCCTTTCTTTCACTCCCTTCACTCAACATGGCAACAAACACCAACGAAATTCCCAGAACATTGTACTCGATGATAAGGGACGTTGATCATATCAGATCAACATGGGCCATCAAAGTTCGAGTTGTGAGGGCCGTTGAAATGTCTGCCCAAACTAAAGGAGGTCAAAGAATGGAGGTTGTTTTCCATGACGAGGAGGTAAACTATGCTTTTGCGTTTTTTCCATTTACTTTCGTTGACATCGGATTTTATATTCATAAGCTTTTTGATGGCTAATGTAGGGTGAAAAGATACATGCATTGATTAAGAGACCCCTTATGCACCTGTATAAATCGAGGTTGCTGGAAAACCAATGCTTCAGGATAAAAAACTTTTTGGTGCTCGACAATTACTATACGTACAAAACTACCTCGCACCCATATATTCTGGAATTTATTAAAAAAACCACAGTTTTCGACCACCCTTCAGAAAACTTTCCGAATTTCATGTATGATTTTCATCAGTTCGACATGTTGCAGAGCCTAAGGGTTGTGAACGATAAACTGTTGATAGGTACTATTTTAAATATAAATTTTTTAGAGTGGTTGTTGGTACTATTATATTACGAAATGTATAATAAACAAATGTATAACTTGACGTTATCCTATGTCAGATGTAATTGGAAAAATTGTTGGAAAAACACCTCCACAGACGCATGTGATAAATGGCTAGCCAGAGCGTCTCATAGAACTGACTTTGGAGGATCCTGAGTTAGTAAAAGTGCTTAACTCATTAATTTTAACTTATGGCTTTAGTTTTCAAAAGGATTTAACCTAATGGTCTTATATAGGGGTAACCGTATCCGAGGCACGCTATGGAACAACTACTGCAAAGAATTATGTGACTTTTACGCAGAGCACAAGAATGAAACCATTTACATAATACTTCAGATGTGCAGACCAAAGCGTTACCAAGGTAGTCTATTTAATAAGAAGATTTTAATAAGTCTATGAAAACATATGTAATGCTTATGTATTTTTTAATGGCAACTCAGGATCTGTGTTGGTGTCTACTTCCTACGACATATCTAAGTTGATCATGAATGGAACGTCAACAGAGTTTGAGGACTTCAAGGCACAGTATGCACCAGATGAACACCATGTTAGATAAACTAACCACTAGGAATGCCCAGTCTCATTCTACTTATTAACTTGACAGATTTGGACCAGAAAATGAGGAGGTAGCTACTGTGACCACTTTCACTGGGAATAGCATAGGCCACGACATGGAAGAAGTACTGAGAGGAAATGCAAAAATCATAGGGATAAGTGAATTCTTGGATGATGCAAAGGTACCTAAATCTTGCCATAGACCAAATGTCACGCCCTGGACCTACCCGGACACGTCAACAACCCGCCGTACAGTACGAATAATCAACCGCAGTCCGACTCATCCATACTATACAAGGTGTCTTGAATACCATTCACACATAGTACATCCATAAACAAACATAATGTAAAACATTTATTAAAGCAGCGGAAACAATTGATACAAGTGTTCAAGCCACACTTGGCATAATTAGGCATGCAAGCCCCCAAAGTAATTATTCAGAAAATATTATCCATGAGCATTATTCATATTGTTTTTCAAAACAAGAACGGGAGAAGCACGAACCAAGTCTTCTCCTCAGAAACTTCCCGAAGCAGCGGCTGGTGGTAGCAACCTTCAAGTTCTACCTGAAACTGTGAGGTGGCCTCCCCCGTGAAGGGGAGGTCAGTACTTGGAAGCATTTGACAAGTACAATGACAACTATACTAAGTATAATCAAAGTTTAAATCTCTGAGGCCCTCAACTAGGGCATTATTACATTATAGTTAATCCGTTCATTTAATATTAATTCATCATTTTTTATCACGGTCTAGAGCCCAGCTCATAATCACCGTTGTCTACTACGGTCTAGAGCCCAGCTCATAATCACCGTTATCTACTACGGTCTAGAGCCCAGCTCATAATCACCGTCATCTACTACGGTCTAGAGCCCAGCTCATAATCACCGTCATCTACTACGGTCTAGAGCCCAGCTCATAATCACCGTCATCTACTACGGTCTAGAGCCCAGCTCATAATCACCGTCATCTACATCGGTCTTGAGCCCGGCTCATAATCACCGATTCCTTATAATTCAAATTCTTAGGATCTAATTCATCCATTTCTCAACTAACATTTCCAACTAATATTTCAATGCTAGTTATTTATTTATTTCAATATAATTCCTTCTTCTTGCATAATTGGCCTTAATATCAAGTATCACTTTCATACTTTCATGGCTTCTCCTCATGGCATCAAAGTATACTATCCCAAATGATATTCATGGTTGGTACAACCCTCATACACACATATTCATAACATCTAAACATACACAATTTATTCATAAATTTGTGTATCATGCATACCATACTTTTAACCAATAGTAGTTCTATTTATGCATTATTAACCATCAACAATTCATGCACATCACATTTATATTCACTTAGGAAATCCCATGAAATTAAACCAAAGATTATAAGTATCATAGTCGGTCATCCTCACCTTAATTAAGCTTAAGCGCGTTCTACGTTTCTCGATTGGACTTTGACCAACTCCGGCGAACTTTGACCAACTCCGGCGAACTTTGACCAACTCCGACGAAACTCCGGCGAAGCTCAAAAATACTTTAAATCAAGTTCCTAACAAGGTTTTATCATCACAAAACCCATATCAACACAAATAACCTATAAAAGGTTATTTTCCGGCAACCCGGTCGATTTGGCTTCTAAGTCCGTTTTTGGACTTAGAATCACTTTCCAACCCATTATTCCACACTTATATCATGTAGAACAATACTAAAGGTCTTTCATATGATATATACCTTATATGCTAGAAGAAAAACAAAGGAGAAGTTATGATAAGGTCATTACCTTAATTTTCACACTTTTTCCTAGCTTTTTCCTTCTTAAACTTTCTTCTTGGACTCCCTTTAGCTTGAGTTCGGATTTGGGCTATGGAGATGGAGTTTGCAGAGCTCTTCTCTCCTTCTTGGTGTATTTGGGTCGAAATGATGAGTGTAAGGGGGTAGGGGTGGTTCCTTCTTGTCTCATTTAGACAAATGAGTGAAGGGAGGGGCCTACTACATGTCAAAGGTGTCTCCCCCATCCTCTCAATTGTTGTTCAGCCAATTTGGCACTCATCCAGCCCTCAAGGGTTGACAATTTCGTGGGGTGGCCCCCACCCATGTGGGAGGTCATCCCAATTTGTCCCAAAGTGTGCAATTTGCCCCGAAAGTTGTATTTTTTTCGGACCGTTTTAAGTATATTTTATTTTATCGGGTCAAATAAAATATAACACTTGTTCCCCATTCTTAATGGACCTTAGAATCAATATGCATTCCTCAACTTTAATTTAGAAGTCTCCGAAATCCCTTTTCGGGCTGTTATCTGATAGATTGCCGATACTGATAATTTGGCCCCGTTTGACCAACCGGTCAACCCTATGCCATTGTCCTGGCTCAACTAGGGTATCCACCACCATGTACATATTATCTAGTCCAAGATCAATATAATATGTGGCCCCGATAATATCGGGCGGTCCCCACTCCCGATGTGGGCCCCACGTGCATTTTACTATTCACGCGAAAAATTTAATA